CATCTCCCCCACCACTGCCAGACTGAGCAGGTAGATAAAGCATCCAATCAGCTGATCAACCTAGCAATCAGACTGCCCTGGGCACACTCTGGACCAGGCTCTTAACCTGGGAACTGGAGACACAAAGTTGAAACTGATGCACTCCCTGACCCTCACAAGTTCTCAGACTAGTGTGTGAAAGAGACATGGAAATACATAACTATAATGTGCTAAGTGTCATGAAACGGACATATTCAAACTGTTGTGGCTGAAACAAGGAGGAAGTCTCTAAATCTGAAGGTGGTGGAGGAGAATAAAGAAGGCTTCCAGAGGAAGGGATATATAAGCTGAGTCTTGCAGGAGCTTGATAGGTACATTGGGAAAACAGTGCATAAAGGAACAGAAGCATGAAAAATTAAGAAACATGGACGAGTTGGGGCAAGAGAGCAAGACTCAAAAGGGCAGAGGTTGCACTAGATGTTTTCATGATCCGCTTGATATGGATTCTCCACCTGCCTCTCTGGCTGTGCCTTCACTGCCCATTCCTTAAACGTCTAACTCCCCAGGGCTTTATACTCTGCAGGCTTTCATACTCTGCCTGGGAAATCTCATCATCTCCCATGGTTTCAGTTACCATCCACTTGACTCCCAAAGCCTTATTTCCTGTGCAGAAAACTTTCTTGAACACCAGGCCCCTATACCCAACCATATCTTGGACATCTCGACATGGATGACGTATAGATCTTGGACATTTCTACATGGATGATGTATAGAGATTAGTCTAAAACTGAATTCATTTTCCCTTAACCTACTCTTCCTGCTGGTGTTTCTCATCTCAATAAAAGGTACCACCATCCACCTGGCCACACGAGCCAGAACCCTGGGAATCTTCTCAATTCTTCCTGTTCTTTTACCTTTCAGATACTAGCTACGACTATATCCTTGATTCTGCCTCTAAAATGTAACCAAGGTAAAAAGAGCTAGTCTTGACTCTGTCACTAATCTCACTAATGCAAGGTAAGACTCTGGGCAAGTTTCTACTCCATCCTCTTACTTGCAAATTGGGATTGGAAGGGGGTCTTTTTGTTCCCCAAATCTGTGATTCCCAAGGTTCTCTTTCCAGACAAAGGTCCCTACGGACTGTATTTGTGCCATGATTAAATCCCACCTTAAGGATTTGATTGCTGGTTTCCACAGTAAGGCTAGGTGTGTTAGAGGGTGTTTGCAGTTGCCCCCACCTCCCTTCCTAAATAAATGTTTGCTAAGTTTAGGGCACCCATGACACTCCCTCTGGGCACCCTTTACTCTAGCCATATGGTTTTGCTCTGTTTTTCTGAACACGGGCTGTACTATCACAACTATGGGCCTTTGCTCAAGCTCTTCTCTCAGCAAGAATGCCATTGTCCCCTAAGTGGCTGAGGCAGCACCTGGCACACAGAGGGTGCTCAGTATATGCTGGTGACAGGAGGGCCATGTTTAAATCACTGCAGTTCCCTCTCACCAGACAGAGAGGCAAAAGCACGGGCAATAACAAGACAAGTAAACAAAGTTCCAAGGAAAAAGACCTCTACTTAACATAAAAAAGCTCTTCCAAAGCAGAAAGTAGTAAGTGCTCTGTCACTGGAGGCATGCAAGCCAAGAGAGGCAGGGCTCCTGTCAGGCCTGCAGCTCTGATTCCAATTCTGCAGCAAATCAGAGCCCTACTTAGGGGATGAATGGGCATTGGTGAGCAGGACAGACAAACAGGGAAAGATCTGTGAAAAAGACCTCTGCACCCACTCCAACCTCCCAGATCTCATCTTCCTACTGGGGCTAGTCCTGGGTTTATGCTGTCCATATCAGAGACCCCCACACCAGGAAAAAGCCCAGGACCTGCCTTCAGTCAGACCGACCGCCCTGGGGTGCAGCCTGCCCCTCCAACCTGCAACCATCTGTCCCTGCAGGTTTGCAGCCCAGGATCTGAAGCCAAGTCCAGAAGGGAGGAGGCTAGAACCAGGGAGGGGCCTGGGGTCTTCCACGCGGGGCCGAGGCTGAAGGGGAATCGGAGGGGTCCTTTCCTACAACAAGCAGCCTCCGGATGAGGCTCCCTGTCCAGGGAGCAGGGCTAGAGGAGGAAAAGAGTGTCCCCCACCCTGGCTGGTGGGTTTCTGGGTGCCTGAGGAGGATGGAAGGGGGAGCCAGGGGTGGAAGTGTCTGCACCAGGGAGAAAGGAACCCTTCAGACAAGCTGGGCCACAAGATTCCAGAGTCCCATTCAGCAACCCCACCCGCCACACCACCACCACCCTCGGCCGCAGCGTTCGACACCCTCCGCCTACATACACAAGCTCCCAAACCCCGCGCTCCTCCAAGGAACCATCACCCATCCACCCGCGCCTCCCCCCTCAAACATGGACCTCACGTGAGCAGCCACAGCCCGAAGAATCCCCCCACAGCTCTCACGGACACGGACACGCCTCACGTGGACAGAGACAGACACAGCTTTTGAAAAGCATCTGTGCCCCCACCCACAGACACTCAGACAGACACACCGCCGTTCGGACTTGGACCCGGAGCCGGGCAGACAGGGACACAAATGCACCCATGGGGGCCGCCCGTCGCACTCACCGCGGCGGAGCAGGATGGGAGCACCAAGGCCCAGACTGCGGCCACTCGGAGCGGCCCGCGGCGCTGCCCCCGCTGCCAGCGCCCGTCCGCCCGGCCCTGCCCGCGGCGCCGCCCCACGTCCCGCGCCTCCGCCTGTCCCCGCGCCGGCGCCGCCGCCGGACCAGCCGCACAGGCCGGAGGGAGGGGCCGGGGCGGGGCTGCGGACCAGCCGCGGGAGGGGGTGGCTCGGGTGCTGGAGACCCACCCACGCCCCGCCCACCGCCGCGGAGGCCCCGCCCGCCTCTGCCCCACCCGCCCGGCTCCCCCAACCCCCCTGGAGGCTCCTGCGGGAGTTGCCTCCGCCGGCCGGCCGGGCAACCGCGTAAACCGGATCCCGGGTCCCGATCCCTGCCAGGGGTTTCTGGCTCCCGACCGCTCTGGGGCGGGGCGGCGTAGTAGGTCTCAGGGACTGGGCTGAGGCTCCGTCAAGAAAACGCAGCTGGGCAGCAGAGATTTCGGACTCTGCGAGCCGGTCCGGGCCCTCCAGGAGGTGCACCTCCCGTCCTTCTTGGGGGGCACCTTCGGAATATGCTAGTGTGCTCTCTACTGCGCAGGGGGACACGGGTATAGTCTGTACCTCGGCACGGATCCCTGGGCGACGTAAGTCCCCCCAGGTGGAAAGGCAGTACCCAGAGCGCTAGCAGAAGGGGCGGACCGGGTGAAAGGTTGGGGGGACTGGATTTGGCTGTGTGTGCCTGACCCTCCCTCAGGCGTCCCCTCGGGAGGAGATTATGGTTCGGACCATCCAGTGATTCCCTTCCACACTCCAAAAACCAGAGCAATTCAGAATCATTGCATTGTGGAAAAGAAGCCCCAGTGGAAAATGATAAAAATTATACTAACAGTTAACAGGGACAGAGTGCTTATTATGTGCCAGAAACATAACGAATCACTTTACATATATTGTCTCCTTTAGTACTCATAATCGTAATAGGCATCTTCTCTTATTAGCTGTGTTTTACAGGGGAAGAAACTGAGGGCCCTCGGCTCAGTTTGAGCTCGCTTTAGAGCCTGCCTCCAGTCACCTGGAGATTCAGTACCGTGTTTCATGTTGGAAGTCCCCAGTGGCCCACAAAGTGGGGCTTTGTATGTGAAGCACCCAACCTAATAATCAAGCTCCAGTCAGATGGCTGCAGGCTGCCTGGGAGCTGCAGTATCTGTGGCAAAGAACAAAATCAGGCTGCATGGATCTCAGGGCTGTGAGAACCCGCTGACTGGGTTGTCTTCTTCCTTCAGTCCTCCAGAGAGGTAGTGGACAATGTCGAAAAACTCTGGAGCTCTCCTTGGTCAAGGAGCACAGAAGTGATAGTACCTGGGCGCTGACTGAATCAAAGTGCCATTGGGGAGATTTCTTGCCTCAAACAAAGTTGATATGGGCTCAACACCTGGGTGCACCCTCAACCTCTCATCCACATGTTGACTTCTGGCACCCAGCACAGGTGCTCCAATGCTTGTGAACGAGCCTCAGGATTCATGCTTGCTTTTGGGTTTGGGGCCAGGGTTACTAGACCACCCAGTGTGAGGGGGCTTGGGTCTGTATAACACTATTTCAAGCCTCATGAGGACTACTTCCCTCAACTTTAGATTTCTCCCATGTCATCAAACTCGTGCTTGAAAAAGCTTTACAGCTCCCTTTCTCCTAAGGGCAAAAGTCCTTATCATTAAGCCTGAACAGGCCCAGTGTGACCCCTCACTGCCTCACTTCTGTAGTCCTTCTCTAGCCACTCCCCTTCCACTTTTCATTCCAAACTGAATTCCTCCCAAGTCCTATCCGGGCCTTCACATATGCTGGCCTCTTTGCTTAGGTTGCTCTTCTATTCTTTGCCTGTGTCTACTTGCCCTTCAGATTTGGTTTTTAAGGTGATAGCCCATCTCCACTCCAGTCTCGGCTAGATGCCCCTCCTCTGCACTCCCACAGCTCCCTGAACTTCTGTATCCTGGTACTCATCACTGCATTGTAGTTGCTTGGTTACATGTCTCTATCCCCCACTAGGCCTTAAGCAATGTGGGAAGGGACTGTGTTTTATTCACTGATGTATCCCCAGGGTCTAGAGCAGTGCCTGGCAAATAAAAGCACTCAGTAAATATTTGCTCTATGAATGAATGGCTGATGAAGGTCAGCGGGCCCAACCCCCTCTAGGCCCTGTGTCTTAAGACCATAGCTATCTCAGTGCTGGTCTGAAGGGCAAATAAAACTTTGGCTCCAGCTGGGGCTGGGGGAGGAGTAGGCTCTCAGACTGTTCCTGAAACCTGTGACTTCCAGCTATCTGGCCTCTGCTCTTCTGGCTTGACAGGATTTTGGTGTATGATTAGACTGAGCATTTCTCCACCCAGCCCACCCTCCTAGAGTCCCCCCACAAATTGACCTCACTGGGCCTGCTTTTATGAAAGGTTTATTCCTAGTGCTAGGTCCCAATCTTCCAGGGCTCTAAGCACAATTAAACTGGGTGGGTAGGTGAGGGGAAGCCCATTCAGATGCAGGGCCAGAAATGGGGCTCCCCATTATCCCCACCCCTTTGGTCCCAGTCCCCTTCTCTGCAATGGGGGACGCACAGAGGAGGGACAAAGGGTACTGGAGGCAACATCATGGCCCAGGGGAGCCCAAGAAGAGCTGCCATTGGCTGACAGGGCCTTTTGAGGCTCTGCCATTGGTCAGGGGGCACACCCCAGGATCTGGGGACAGGCCTGAGGAATAATGCGCCATTGGCCAGGGAGTGGTTCTGTCATAGCCTTTGGCTGTGGAGTGGAAGGAAAAGATCTGGGAATGAAGCCCAGTGGCCAGGAAGATAAAGGACAGGGCAGCAGCTGCTGGGCCTGCAAGCCCCCTCCCTACCCACAGCAGTGTGGGCAAAACTGGTGTCAGGCCCCAGCCAGGGAAAGGGAGCCCAAGCCAGAGGGCAGGTGGCAAGGGATGTCCCATGTCCAATCTCCCCCACCCTGGGACTGCCTCTCCCAATGTCCTTCTTGATAGCCAGGTTTGGTTAGGAGCAGCTCACTGCTCCTCTAGCCAGGAGGGCTTCTCAGCTCCTGGAGGCCGCAGCTTGATGTTGAACTGCTGCAGGGTCTGCTCCAGCTGTTTCTGGTTCCCAGCAAAGTAGGCTGACACGGCATTGTGGAAAAGCAGCAGCTGCTTGTGCATCACCTTGATCTGGGGGTCCAGCAGGGTCAGCTGAGACTGGACTCAGATGCCCTTCTTGAGCCTGAGCCCAGACCAGGGGTACATGGATTCTGCTCTGATGGTGCTTTTAGGGTGGGGGCTGACCTCCACTAAGGGAGTCAAAGGATAAGGGTCAGTCTGATGGGAGAAACCTGACTTGATTTGCTGGGATTGGGGGTTCTGGTACCCCAGCTCAGGGAATGATTTTTCCCAGTTATGTTCCTGGGATCAGCAGCCAAATCCTCCAATAAAAAAGGGCCAGGGATTGGAGGGCAGGTGACTAGGAAGGTCCAGGGGGTGAAGGGGCCGGGGGAAGATCCCACCCCTTAGCCAGGCTGCATTTCTCGCATCCAGTACTGGGGAGGGTCGTAGGGATAGAAGGTCAATGTTACAGATGGGAAGGTGGGCTGGGGTTAAAGGGGTGGGGTTGGCACCTTGTTTTCTTCCAGGAACTTGAGCTTGATGGCCACATCTCCCCGCAGCTTCTCATATTTGTCCCGATGGGCCTGGAAAGTGGCCTGGGCACTCTCGAGTCGACCACGCGTCCCTGCATCCCGGGGGCCTAGGCTCAGCTCCTCTAAGTCTGTTCGGTAGGCATCATATTCCAGCCTGGGGAAGGGGTGATACAGGCTGGTCTCCACCCCAGTGTCCTCCACACATACTCTCCTTTCTTTCCTCAGTTCTTATGACCCCAAAGCTCAAACTTCTACCCATGCCAGCCAACTCCCAGAACTCTAGGCCCTACTGGTGCCCACACCTGGCAGCCTCATACTGTTTGACAGTCATGAGCGTGTCTTCCATGGTCTTGGTGACCAATGTGTTGATGCTAGAGACAAAGAAGTTCACAGCCCCTAGCAGTGTCTCTCCATTCTTGCACAGCAGCTTCTGTGTTTCTGCATTGTAGCCAAATTCCTCCTGAGGGCGGAAGGGAGGACAGGCCTTGAGCAACAGTTCCTACCTGACTAAAGCTATAGGGCCCTCATTCCCCTCCTCCCCAGGGAGGAAACAGCCATGGAAACTGGCAAAGGCTGTCTTAGCCAGAAGTTAGTGGGGCCACCCCAGGGATGGCTGGGGTAGGAATGTGGGAGTGGGGTTCTCAGATAAGTTCACAGGACTAGAACAGGGAAAGCTAGTGCAGCAGGCAAGGGAGGGGCTCTGATTAGGCCGAGCACCAATGCAGAGAAGGGTTACTTGTGAGGCATCTAGTGTGCCGCCTCCCCCACCCCTCCAACTTCTGAACCTCTGTACAAACCCTTAGGCTGCCTCCACGGGTGAGTGCTGCTGGGGGTAGGGCTGGGCCTACCCTGGAGGGGTTCTCCCTCTGGGCTGCAGGAGGGAGGGAGGGAGGGAGGCTGAGGGCTGACTGCCTGGGAGGGCCCGGGCCCAGTCCCCCCACCCTCTTTGGCCTGACCAAGGCACCTGAAGCTCTGGGGACTTCTGGCTGAGGTCAGCAAAGGCGTCACCTAGTGCATGCTGGGTCTGCAGCAGGCTGTAGAGGTGGGCTGTCAGTGCCCGGCCCAGCTGCAGGACACTCTCATACTTGCGCTTCGTCTCACGCAGCAACTCAATCTGCAGCTCTAGCTCCAGGTCCACAGTCCGGGAGCCTCGGCCAAATCGCTCTGATAACAGCTGCTTTGTGCACTGATTGGGAAGTGGGGGAATAGGTCAGAGACCCTAGCACCCTGCCCCCCCAACAGGTATCGACCCTAGCATCCCCACACTCCTAGTCTCAGCCATAGATGGGATAGTGGCATCTGGAAGATGGGAAAAGGTACCCAGGGGAAGTTTGGGGGAAGGGAAAAGTGCTTAAATCCCACCTTATATGTGTTGATGCCCCATTTCTTGACGATGTCAAACTTTTCTCCAGCGATGCCCCGAGCCACCTCATCTCCGGGGCCAGCAGGAGTGGTACTGTGAGATGGATGGCGGCCAGACCCTAAAGAACCAAGTTCTCTGACACCAGCCTCTCTCAGATAGAACCAGACAACTCTGTGGCTCCACCCATACCTCCCACCCAGCATATGAAAATGACTTCCCTGAAGTAGCAGAAACTAGAGACAATGAGATTCTCCTACTCACTAGGAAGAACTCATACGTTGTGCCCTGAGACCCAAATCCCAATATACATCTGGCCTCCTTCTGAGGTGGTGATGGGGTCTGGAGTGGGGGGAGGGAGTTGCTGGTGTACAGGGGCAGAGAAAATGGAAGAAAATATGCTGAGAATGGGGTGGCAGGTCAAGGATGGTGGGTCCTGATAACAGGAAACCTCATTGACATTCTCATTTGGAATCCTAGTCAGTGTGAGATTCAAAGATATTTGCTTCTCTAAACTTTAGAGTCTAAAGCAAAACTCTGAGAAGCCTCAGAGTTCCAAATCAGTCTCAAGCTCCAGAGCAGGGAGAACTTCTTTGAAACAGAGTTCTTCATGTGATTCGAGTGGTAGCAGCAGAGAAAGGACAAATGGTTACATCTCAGGGGCTAAATGGCAAGTGGGAGCAGTTGGACAACCCTGCTCATACTAGCAGAAGTTCCCAAGATCTCCAGACATAATTCAAGCTATCTTAGACATATCCTATACTCCCCAGAACCATTCCCCTCCCTCTCTCCACTCAAGCTTCCTGTCCTGTTCTGATCATTCATACCTGTGGGGATGAGTCCATCACCAGAGCCCCCATAGCCACCAGACACAATGCTGGTTTCATTGAGGTTGGGTCCTGACACCATCACCTGCTGGAGGTCCTATAGGCCAGAGAAGAGGGGGGCTTCAGGAACATTGGGGCAGCTGAAGCATTTGGGGGGTGAGAACAAGCTTGGATTGAAGCATCACAGAGAGAGCACACAAGGGAAGTCTGCATAGAATCAGAATGAAGATTTGTAAAAAGATTGGAGGGAGTTAGACAAGTTAGGGGAAAACTAATGGAATGGGGTGAGAGCCCAGGGCTTATGATTTAGGATTCCTAAATTGAAACAATATGGAGAAGAATCAAACAGAAGCACCTGCTCCAGCCCATCATCCTCAGGAAGCTGCCCAGCTTCACCGTTCCCATGGATGGGGATCTCCATTGTGGCTGCCTTCCCTAGAATCCCGTCCGTCATGGCTAGGGAAGGGACTGGAGTCAAAGTCTCCACCCCAGCGCCCTGCAAAGCCCAACACAGACAGTTCTGGAAACTGGCCAGTACTCCAGAAAGAAAGGTCTCCCCCACCATTTCAGAGATTTTAGAGGTTGTCCCAAGACTTGAGTATTCTGGGGTTGGGACACCACTCCTCTTCTCATGGATATGTATTTCTCCCCTCCAAGGTGCATCTTTCCACATGCACACCCAGGCCCCAGATGTCTTCTCATGAACCCCCAACCCCACCAGGATTCAGGTGATCACTCATGCATTCAATCATTCATTTAATAAGTGCCTACTATGTGTCATGCATTATTTGAGGTCACAGTAGTGACCAAGACAGATAAGGTCTGTGCTGTCTTGGAACTTATCCCCATGCAGCTGTTTCCCCCCCAATCAGATTTAACCCCTTTCCAAGGCTCAGGAGCCTACTCCTCCAATTCAGGTATGTTCTCCATTGCTTGGCCTTTCACACTCCCTTAGTGTTTCTTCCCCTTTCCTTCAGGTGGTCTCCCCCTCCTCCATCCCATGCACCTCCTCTTCCTCGGGCCCTCCCCCCCCCAGGCCTTAGTTGAATCAGTTGGTGTATGTTATCGGCCTCTGGGAAAAGCCTCTTTTTCCCACAACATAGTGATCCCTTCCAAAGTCAGTTATGTCCCCCAGGTGTGTTAGTCCCCGCCCCCCCATACACCTGGGCATCAGGTGTGTCCTCATCCTTCCCCAGGGCTCAGTGGCATCTTTCCCTCAGGGCAGATTCGTGCGTTCAACTTCCCCTCACCCAAGTATGTCCTTCTCACCTCGGGCCGGGCCGCTCTTCCCCTCAGGGCGCCAGGCCCGGGCCGCGCGGGGACCTCAGGCTCCAGTTCCCGTCGCGATCCTAGCAGCAGGTCAGGGACTCGGCGGAAGTGACGTCCCCTCCCGGGCAGAAGAAGCCGGCCACGTCGCAGATTATAAGGGCGGAAATGACGTTTTGCCGGGGGCCGGGCCATCCTTGAGCCAACCCCTCAGTCCCTGGGGAGCGAGGAGCGAGTACTTCCGGGGCGTTACCAAGACGCTGTAGGGAAGTGACGTACTGTGCGCGGTGGTGCGATGGAGCCCCAGGCGCAGCAGCAGCAGCAGCAGCAGCAGCAGCAGCTGAGAAACGTGAGTGCTAAGTCGCTGCAGGGCCATAAGTTCAGCTAGCACCCTTGTCCATTTGGCTGGATATCCGAGGGCTGGGAACATCGGGTTGTGGCGTGCGGTCCCGGGAAACCTCGAGCGACGCGGCCTCGAGGTGCCCCTGTATCGCTGAGTTCTTTGTCCCCTTTTCTCCTAGTTGCGGGACTTCCTGTTGGTCTACAATCGGATGACGGAACTCTGCTTCCAGCGCTGCGTGCCCAGCCTGCACCACCGAGCTCTGGATGCTGAGGAGGTTAGGTGGGGAACTCTGTAGGGAGGTTCACCGTAGACTGTTCCCCACCCCGACTTCCCCTGCCTCTGGCCCTGGCCTTTCCACCACCCTCGCCCCTAGGCTGGGGATGGGAAGGAAGGAGACGGACCCGACAGGACACCTTTGGCCTCTGCTTCACCCTGTCATCCTTCTAGGAAGCCTGTTTGCACAGCTGTGCTGGGAAGCTGATCCATTCCAACCACCGCCTCATGGCCGCTTATGTGCAGCTCATGCCTGCTCTGGTACAGCGCCGCATCGCAGACTACGAGGCTGCCTCAGCTGGGCCAGGTGTTGCTGCTGAACAGTCCGGAACCTCACCATCAGGCAGCTAGCCCTCCCCAGCCCCAGGAAGGGAGGCACTGGATGGACCCTCAAATTGAAGGAGCCAGTGGACCTTGGGCTGGATGCAGCCTGTATATAGAGCGAGGGGTTTCCTGAGAGCTGGGTACTATTGCTCCTTTTCCTGGAGCCAATAAACCCGCTTTTACTCTCTTTGGTTTATGTTCTGGGCGGGGAAGCTTTGCCCACTGTATTGGCACCATCCTTTATTCTGTCAGTTAGTGCATATCTGTTGGCTTCAGCCCTGGCAGTGGAGAAATTGCCTTCTCTGTGTGGAAGGAAAACCTTAACATTCCCAGGCACCTGGTTAAAGCAAGGTCTGTGGGTACAATTTTAATGTTAGTAACGTCAACAGGAAGTTGATTCCTGCCCAAATGGCAGAGAAAAATGAGACCTTTTTCTAAATCTGTCCTTCACTTAAATCTGTCTGACTTAAATGGCTTATTTGTGAGTCAGGTGTACATTCATTCATAACTCTTTTTCTGGACTCTAAGGAATTCTGCTAGGTGTAGGTAAAGGAGATAACCAAGGACAGCAGATCAAGAAATCAGACAAAAAAAAAAAAGAAATCATGGACAGGGTATTTAGGCAGTGCCTCCTGGGAAGTCAGTAGCCCCAGAACAGAGATGAAACCTCTAAGAATTTTGGGGTGTTCTGGGACTTCAATCATTTCCCAAGTTGTTACTTTCTTATTATTTTCTGCCTACCCCAGGATGAGTGGTAAAGCCTTTACACCAAGGTCTGTGTGCTTGTCTTCAGGAGCAGTCAGAAAGGGGAAACTTGGGGGACCATATTCTGCAATATAGCCAGACCTAAGGGACAGAAGCCCAAGGGAGAAGTACACGATGGTGGTTATGGGGAAAAAAGGGGATAAAGCAAATCCTTGAGACCGCTTTATCATTGCCTGCATGTCTATAATTTCAGCTCTTCCATCCTCTACCCTACATTGTTCCCACTGTTCCTGTTATTTCCATATTGAGCCTCTCCATTTTTCTCTCATTTATTCCCCTCCTTGTGAAATTTACTTCTGTATTCAGCAGTCTGAATGGCCTATCGCTCCATCACCACATTTTCTTGCCTCCCTATGTCCTTTTTGTATCATTCCAGCTGTTTTATCTTTTCTGTTCCTCCATTCAGACTGCTAGAGAAAGACACAGCTGTGTAATGAACGGCACTAAATATTCAAGGTCTCCAATTTCAACCAAGCCCTCACTACCAACAAGCAACCCTTTGTGGCTTCCTGGTGTATTTCCTCTCCTAATCACCATGGCAATTATTTTACACCTTCACTGTTCTCCTTATCCCCCACTTCACGTCCAACTTTCCCCATCAGGTGACCATGTTTCATTTTTTACAGAGGAAATGGAAGCTCTTAGACACTGGTTCCCACAATAATAAAAAAACTCTTTACAGCCACCCACAGAGCATTTTTCCCTCCTGAATGGATCAGGAAGTTGAAATTCTCTAGTAGCAGACCCTTATAGATACAGATCTGACTTTAAAATCCATGTACATTTTACTACACCAGGCTGCCTCTCAAAATATCCATTGAGCCACCCAATTTGTATGGGTTCTGATACTGATAAATGTCTTGCTTTAATCTTTATAGCAAAACTACAAGTAAGATATTATCTCCACTTGATGAGGAAGCAAGAATCCAGAATGTACCAGAACGCTGTCTTATACATAGTTAACCTCTTGAGAAAAGTGGCTCCAAACAGCTTTTTGCCTCTTTAGCTCCCATATCTTGAATAGAAGGTTTTGCTAGGAACATATAAGTTGCTGACCAGAAACTTCCCTACTGAGTAGCTTTGTGTCTACCCAATAAAGTTCTCTCCTTGGAAAGTATAACTGCAGCTAAAACAGCCTGTGAACTTAACCAATCCAAGATGGGAATGGGGACCTGGAATACTGTGGTGCTGGTGGGAGGACTCTTCCACATGGACATTCGTGTGTATCCTTGCAGTAAATTTCCATTGTGAATTGTCTGTGTTTCCATGTCACATAATTACTACTTGCTGGAGAAGGGCTGAGAAAAAGAACTGTCTTGACTCTAGAACCTATGTTCTTTGAATCTTAAGAGTTCATCTGTGCTTGCTCACCTGCACCCAGGCTGTCCCTAGGCTTGGAAAAACAAGTATCCCTCAATGTAATCCATTAGTTAATCCCTTAAGTTTTTAACCTCTTCTTTTCTCTCTGTTTATAAACATGTTCAGTACTTAGGAGAAGAACCCTACTCCTGTTACCCGTCTGTTACAATCACTGACCTCTCCCTCGGGTCTTGCCATAAAGTGATATCATTGGTGTAATGAGAGCAGTGTGATGTTTTAAGCACAACACAAGAATAAATGTTAACAAAGCTCTCTTATCACAAATACGTATTGGAGACAGTTGGTATTGTCATTGTGGCTTCAGAACTTGACTGCCTACTTCGTAAAGTCTGATTCCTTTGAGCCTGTTCAACTGTACCACCCTCTCTCATTACTTGTCCTTAGTAACCACAGCTCTCCTACTTTCCTCAAAATAGCCCTTGGTCTTCCTATAACCCCTTGACACTGTAATGTTACCAGACAGTCCATTCAGTATTTTGGTTTCTTAATTCCTTGCCTCAGTCTCCAATGATTTCCACTCTTGTCTTAGCCACCCATTCCCTTAGTTATGTCCTGGCCATTGCCATTACCCCAAACTGCTCCATCTTTAAAACACTATTACTAGCCTCTTCCTTACTGACTGTATTCCTTCTACTTTGTTTATTGATATATTCCTTTACTATTGTTCTTTGATTTCACTGGAGCTTTCAAGCCATTGATTCTACTTTCCATTTACATCTTCTTGTCTTTAGATTCCTGTCTAGCTTAAATACCAGTTATTCTCTTGGAACAGACTAAATTTCTTTGTCATCTCTTTGTTGGACTCAGATAAAATGAGACATTTGTCTGTCTCTGCATTTGGACAGCTAAAAGCCCAAGGAAATGACTACAGAACAGATTTATATCACTATGAATTCATGGTTACCAGCGTCAAATGGAGACTCAACCCCTATAATCCCACTAGGTTTTTCCAGTCACTGCGGCTCCCTGCGATGAATACTTTCAAATCAGTATTCTTAAGCCTCTTACTACCCTCACTATTCTCTTCAGTGTTCTGCAAGTAACCTTATTTTTTAATTCATAGGTAAAAGTAGAAGCTCTCAGAGGAGTTCCCACAAAATCTCACAACACAACGTGGTCACCCACCTATACCTGCATCATTCTCTTTCCTTCCATCTAAATAGGGCAAACATGCCTCAAAGCCAGTGCCTATTCCTGCTCTGAATCCTAGTCCTTTCTATGGGGATCTCTGACTTTTTCTATTTTACTATATTCTCACCATTGTTCAAACATGCTAAAGACTGTCCTGTTAAACCACTACCTTATTTCCCCTCCAGCTATCATCCTATTGTTCTCCACTTTACAGCTTAACTTCTTAAAACATTTGGATACTGTGGCTCTCTCCATTCCCATTCCTCCACCCAGTCTATTTTGACTTCTACAATCTTTATTCTATTGAAATTGTTCTTGATGAGGTCACCCTGGCCTACCAAATGACTCATATCCCTGATTTCCCAGTCCTCAGTTTACTTCACTTCTCAGGAGCATCTGGTACTGTTGACTAGTTCCTCATCATTGGCAGTCTTTCATTGGTGTCTGTGACCCCACTAGTGGTTCTACTACTACTTTCACCATGCTTTATAGCCCCCTTTGAGGCTCACCTGCTTCCAGCCTTTACATCTAAAGGTTTCTCTAGGGCCTCTCCTTTCTCAGACATTTTTCTAGGATTGTGTCCTCTCCGTTCAGCTTCAGTTACTGGTGCCTCCTAGATCTCTCCTCTGAGCTACTTGATTGACATTCCCACTTAGGTGTCTCAAAAATATCCCCAACTCAGCATGTTTTCCTCATCAGCTTTCGTATACCTAGTACTCCTCCAGTTGCAGAAGCTAGAAACCTCACTCAGTTGCCAAATCCCATCTGTTTACGTTTTACATTTCTAAATATCCCTTGATTCTGTCTGCTTCTCCCCATTTTTACAATCTTCCAACAGTGTTACTGCAATTGCTATTTTACCTCCTATCTACTTCTGCATCCCTCCAATCTCTTCTCCATTGATAGGCCAGAAAATAAACTGAGGCTTAAAACCTCACAATAGCGTCCCATTCTTAGGATAAAAACGCATTCTACATGTGACCTCAGACCGTGCATGATTCCGTCCCTGCCCACCTCAGCTTTATCTTATCATGGACTATCAAACACTGGACTGTCAGTACTGTTTGTTGAACTGAATTGAGCCGCAACTCACTTGCTGCCTCTCTGTGCTCTCACCACACTGTCATCTCCATTCTTCTAACCTGTCAGGTACCATTCCATCTCGGGGCCTTTGCACCATTTCCTGACTTGCAGTGCTTTCCCCTCACTTTACTCATTCTTGAGTACTTAGTGTGAATGCTATTTCCTCACATAACTCTTCCCAGACTCCAGCTCCCATAATTCCTCATGTTTGTGGCATGTAGCACTTCTAACTGTTGGTAATTACATACCCCATGAGATCACAGTCCACGGCTGTATTGCTCACCATTGTACCCTTATCACAGTGCCTGGCACATAATACGTGCTTGGTAAATATCTGTTGAATGAACATTTTGCAGTTTCCTCCCAGCTCAGTCTACTATTTACATAGGAAGAGAAAGGCTGAATATCGGAAGAGACAGAAATGAGTCTGCATTTAACTTTTGACGCTTTGCCAATGATTTAGAGGTGTTTTTCATGCCTAATCTCACTGGTTGGTCTCTTCTGCCCTTAATATTCACAGATCGGTCAACACCTGAAAGCTTCCATCTGGAGCAAATCAGTCATTCTAGTTTCCACTCAGTTCCTAAGCTTTATAATTCTGCTTAAATAATTCTTGAAACCTTTCTTTTCTCTCCATGTCCTTTGTCACTACCTTGATCGAACTTTCATCAGCTCTTGTATAGATTACAGCAACAGTCACCTAACAGCTTATTCCTTGAGCTTGGACCCCTTTGATTAGTTAGCATTTAGCTAAGGTATATGTAACAGAGACTAAAAATGACAGTGGCTTACAAACTTTTCTCTTTCAAGTAAAAATCTAATCCAAGACTGGTGTGACATCACAGTCATCCGAGAACCAAGCAACTCCTAAGCTTTCTGCTTGTTGTATCAAGGGTATGACTCTCAATCATGTGACCCAGGATGGAGCTTTACTTTGCACACAAACATTCCAAGGGGCAGAATGGAGCAGGGAGTGGGTGGAGGGGCATATCCTCCTCCCTTTAAGACACATCCGAAAAGTTGCACATCAGAAATTTGTCATGTGGTCAGGCCTTGTTACAAGGGAGGCTGAAATGTCACTTTATTCTTACCAGTCATTTTTTTACCCAGTTAAAAATTGGGAGTTCTGTTACTAAGGGAGAGGAGGAGTATGGCTATTAGGAGACACCTACCAGTCCATTTTCCATACTGGTTGAGAGTGATTCTTGCAAAATACAAAAATAATGGTACTCATCTACCTAACACCTTCCGTCACCTTCAGACTGTAACGTCACAACTGAAGCTTTCTGTGATCAGGTCCCAGAAGATCTCTTTGGCCTCATCTTCAACCCTCTTTCCTCAGTTTTTGATTCTCATACCCTTGGTATAAAAGGGTCAATTTATTTGTGGTGCTCAGACACATCATGCTAATTCTGGACTCTGTTTTTCCTTTTTTGAGTATGTCCCACTTTCGTCCATATACTAAGTACTTCACAAATACCCGAGTGTATTTACCAACCCTGTTAAGCCCTGCAGATGCAGAGGTGAATGAAAAAGATGCAGTCCTTGTTCTCTTGGAACTTAACACAGATATGGTGGAGGTGAATATAGAACAAGTAATCACAACTGTGGTGAATGTTACAAAGAAGAAATATGTGTTGCACTGGGAACATACAGTAGTACTAACCTGTGTGGGGGATGAAGGAGAGCTTCCCAGAGGAGTGATTTGGAACCTGAGATCTGAAGGATGAAATAGAATTTACCAAGCAAAAGGGGGATGGGCTGCCCTCCTTTCCTTCATGTCTTTGCTTAGATGTCTCCTTTTTATTAAGGCTTGTTCTGATTATGCCATTTAAAATTGCAACCTATCCTCCCTCAGACACTCCTGATCCTCTTTATTCTGCTGTTTTTTCCATAGCACTGTCATTTCTCACATACTATATAGTTAACTTATTTTGTTTTGTCTTTTTAATTCTGGATCAAGATTCTGGTAAAATTTGTTCTATATACTACCATGATTATACAAAATTATTTATATTGGCATTGTGCCCTACAGTGTTTTACACACATTACCGTATTTTTTTTTCTTTCCTGCAAGACTATTTTAGACTGTTATCACCCATAAACAGTAAATAGTGTGGACTTTTGGAATAGGCCTGTTTTATCATCTAATCTAAACAGGTAATTTTGCAGGTAATTCTCTTCCTTCAGATTCAAGATATTATTTTCTTTCCCAAGATTAGTGATTTAAATTCTCTAAATGTGATTCTACTGAAGAGGTTGAAGATTAAGATCACTAATATTTCTATGGAAATTGAGGCTTTTAAATCATATCCTATGTGTTTGTTGGCCAGTCCATGATTCATAATTATAATCTGCCTAGGTTCTATTTATTTTTATTTTTATTTACCTTTTAGTCCCCTTCACCCATTGGTGAAATGGGTAAAGGGACTCATTTTTATTATTTATTACTTGTAACTCCCACTAGAATTTATGTTCTCTAAGTCATAAATCAGGAATTTTGTCAATGTTATTGCTCTGTACACTGATATAACCAAACATCTAAAATAGTGCCCAAAACACAGCTGATGCTCAATAAATATTTGTTGAGTAAGTGAAGAAAGGAGAGAGTTCCAGAGCAAAGGTCTAGAGCTTGGCTTTAGAGAGAGGAGGAACATCTCTTATTGGTAACAGGAAGGATGGAGGAATGGATAAGGCAGATCTAAGTTTTTTTATTGGTATTGAGAGATTGAGAGAGTTTCTTTTCAATATCATGTGTGATGGTTAGTGTTGTGTGTCAGCTTGGCTAGGTTATAGTACCATTATTTAATCAAACACTAATCTAGGTGTTGCGGTGAAGGTATTTGGTAGATGTGGTTAACACCTACAATTAGTTAACTTTAAGTAACAAAACTACTCTTACTAATGAGGGTGGGATTCATTCAACCAGTTGAAGACCATAAGAGCAGAAAGTGAGATTTCTCGAAGAAGAAATTCTGCCTCAAGACTGCAGCAGTAATTCCTGCCTGAGTTTCCAGCAACCTATCCTACAGATTTTGGACTTACTAGCC